CAGTGCTGCCCTCCAGGCGCTCCTGCAAGCTCCGGCTGACAAACGCTTCCGATAGTACCCTCTTGATTGAGATGGTCTTTGGTCTGCAGCAAGATGACTCGGACACCTTCCTGAGCCTCGAGTAGGCAGAGGCCAGTGTCACCAGCAGCAGGACGTGGCCAGAGAGCTGTGCTGTGGCAGAGGTGTGGTTCTTCAGGCACAGGGCCAGGCCTGAAGACGCTCCCCGGGGAGCTGGTGCCGCAGAACTGAAGATGCCGCACATGGGGAACACGCTGCTCAACCGGCACTGGGAATTGCTGCCGCACCTTTCCTCCACAGCAAAAGCACGCTCTGGGGAGTGGGACCCCATGCAGCTGAAGGGGCCGGTACAAGGAGCCTGGCAACAGAGACTCCCGTCACTACCTGGACAGCGACTGCCTGCCCTCTTCGAGAGAGTCGAGTCCCTCTGGCAGCTTTACCCTGGGCAAAGATGTCAATAAATCTCTCGGTTAACACACAAACACTGCGTCTGGGAGCGCCTGTGCATCGCTTTGTTGGGGAACGCAGGCAGAGGGTGCTGACAGCTCAGCTGCCACAGAGTCGGGGAGCATTTTGCAGAAGAGCTGGTGCAGGGGGCTCTGGTTTCAGCGATTTCACTGAGCTTTGGCTTCCCAGGTGTTGTGGGTTAATCCCAGCAGGCAGCTTGACATCACACAGCTGCTCATTCACTTGCCCCCAGTGGGATGGCAGAGAGAATCCGAAGGGTAAAAGTGGGAAAGCTTGTGGGTTGAGAGAGGACAGGTTAGCAGGTGAAGCAAGAGCTACAGGCCCAGGCAAAGCAACATAAAGAATTCATTCACTACTCCCCTGGTCTGCCGACCAGACCTGCCTTTCCGGGAAGGGTTCTGCCTCGCTGGGGCTCAGGTTGAAGGCGCTACCAGGGAACTTCCTAACCTTGTATGGCCCTCAGATTATTACCAGCTCTTGCTTTGTCACGTGGGTACCCACAAAGTCGCGACGAGAAGCCCAAGGGCGGTCAAAAGAGACTTCAAGGCCTCGGGGAGACTGGTAAAGGCATCAGGAGCGCAGGTAGTATTCTCCTCTGTCCTCCCAGTTGTAGGGAATGACATCGAAAGA